ATTCTCCCAGAAAACTACTACCAGGTCTTTGGACTGTGAGAGGAAACCTGAGCTCCTAAAGGGAACCCACGCAAACCCAGGGAGAACATACAAACTCCACACAGACAGCACCCTTGGAACCTAGGAACCTTGAACCTAGGGCCCAGCGGTAATGCCAGCCATTGCTGTACTGTGCCACTATATTAGTTAATATAGGAATTAATTCAATAAATAACAAATGTATAAGAACTAAGAAAAAGATAGAGGCCCCAAAGATGAAAAAGAAGATATGACACGATAATATGAGGCAATTAGGTGAGTAAACACAATCAGTAGAGTTTAATGCTCTGAAGTCCAGCTTTAGATATTTTTCAACCAACTAATTTGCACAAGAGGATAAATTACAGTCAACACATTTATTTGAGGAAAAACAATGACTCAGTGCGGCCGCTTCATAAACAAGAAAATAAAAAACGTAAATGAACAGCAAAATAAACATAATTGCAGGCTTGCCCAAGGCTTTCTGCAGCTCTAAATTGTCACGCCCTCCAAAAATGAGGGATCTCTATGATCCGGTCTACTGCCACCACATGTTTATGACCTGGCGGTGGATCAGGGATCTTTAAGAGACGTTAAAAACTAAGAACAACATACAGTACAACAGCACAAAGTTCTTTTTTGTTCTTATGTTCAGATAAACCAGAGCACCGGTGATTCATTTAAACTGCATGTTAACCTTTTCAGCAATTTAACATGCAAAATTATGAAATCCTTTGTTAAAAGATAAGATCAGATCACTTTATTGGCCATATACAATTTCTTGTATTAGGAATTTGTCTTTTTCACATACCCCAACTTGCTCTCCATGAGACACACAGACAGGGAGAGAAGCCTGGGTTCAGAGCACAGGGTCAGCCATTTATACGGCGCCCCTGGAGCAGTTGGGGTTAAGGGCCTTGCTCAGGGGCCCAACGGAGTAGGATTCCTCTGCCAGCTGCGGGATATGAACCGGCAACCTTCCAGCCACAGGCGCAGATCCTGAGCCACAGAGCCACCGCACCGCCCCAAAACTTGTGCCCTAAGCAGGTCTTGAACCTGGATTGCCGACATACTTATATAACATTCCTCTGCATCACCAGCCCACTCTAACACACGGTAAAACAAAGACACAGCAGGAAAATGACACTAAGATAACTATCTTCAGTATGCACATTCAAACTACAGTAGCTACCATTTTTTTTTTATTTGTTTGTATTTTGTCCTTATTTCCTCTTAGGTCATCCAGCAAATAAACAGCAAATGTTATTTTAAAAATTCAGATTTGTTAAAACAAATCAAGATATATGCTGCAAGCTTCATTGATTCAATCCTAAAGTAGGGAGCTGGCATCTTTATTGGCAATACATAATTGGCTGACCGAAACCAAGATCGGTAGCCTTGAGGAAAATAGGATATAACTGACATGACCGTTGTAACACCAATTGATGCTAAATTTCCTACAGGTACAGAGGAACTGCTCAGGCAAAATGCACATTCCAGAAGAAAGTGCACAGTGCTCACACGTGTCCATGTGTGATCAGAACCCAAACCCCTGCCAAAATCAATGGTGCCCCACATCTTCTGGAGATTGTTTACACATATAACGGTAGATTTAAATCGCATAAAAATAAAAACAAATCAGTAGCATTCTGACAATTAGAAAACCAAAGGCAAGTGAATTTGATACTTAGTCCTTAAAATCGAAAATGGCTTTTCAAAATACTTGATAGTTAATAATTCCTTACATGTATATAGTGCTTTTCTGGACACTCCACTCATAGCGCTTTACAGGTAATGGGGAATCCCACTACCACCACCAAAGTGTATCCTCCACCTGGATGATGCAATGACAGCCAGTACTCTCACCACACATCAGCTATTAATGTAGAAAAGAACAGAGTAATGAAGCCAATTCATAGATGGGGATTATTACGGGGAAATGATTGGTAAAGGCCAGGGGAAATTTGGCCAGGACGCCAGGGTTACACCCCTACTCTTTTTGAGAAGCCCCCTGGGATTTTTAATGACCACTTAAGCTTTGTGATGAAAACTGCCACATACAGAGCACATTTTGTTCAAGTGTGGAGCTCAAACAGCATGTGTTGGCTGTCAAGAAACACAAAGGTTAATTCCATGCTGAAATGCAGAAAGGAATCAGCATTTCTGCTTTTGAGTCTCCTTCAGGTGATGTACTCTACCTTTCTGACACCTAAAGAAGGCTGAGACTCCTCTTTCGACTCTTCTGCAAGAACTTATCCTTTACTTTGTCCTTGACCGCAGAACTTGCCTTGCCCCATAACTGTCTTGCTGTAGGAACGCACTGAAAGATAACTTGTGTACACTTCCTACTGGGACTAGTGTTCTGTCAAGTAAGAGATGTCTTTTACAGGAGAAGGATGTTGCTGGGGAACTGGGTTTGGCAGGCCAGATGTCCTACAACAAAGAGTCGCACAGAAAGCATCTAGCCCAACACATCAGAAGAAAAAAGATTTGAATACCCTCCCCCCCCCCAAAAAGCCAAATGATATAAATGACATCTTTACAAGTACTAAAAAAAAAATCTCCTGGCCAAGTGATTTAATATTCATTTTCTGCCATACGATTCCATCTCAAAGGCCTGAGATTCAAAAGCCGTTACTGAAAAGGGCTAACTGCCAGATTTTCCCATCTAGTTCATTATCTGTGCTCGATGTCTTGGAGATGTCTGCATGCAAATAATGAATGGGCAACCCCATTCGGTTAAAACAATACCTCCCCCCAAGGGGATTCGTGCCAATTTATGTCGAGCCATCCCAACGTGATTCAAATAATGACAGCCAGCAGAATGCAAGCCAGAGTGTGGAACTTTACACTGTTAATTAGTATCAGCGAGTATGGAATTTCAATTGGCTTGCTGGAGATAGCACACCATTGAAAAGAACGGGGAGTGGAAAGCTGTAACTTCTGGTTACAGTCTACAGAAAGCCAACTGCTAAAGTACAATGACTCAGCAGGAAAACTGTGTGTTCGTCGGGGCTGCACAGAGAGCATTTTAACCAATCAATGACAGCAGATGATGAGTAAAGGAATTAAGTCTCGACTTGAAAAGAGGCAACATGCTCAAACTATAGGCCCTGCCCGGGTTTTGATAGGCAAAGCTCAAGAAGATTACAAGTTTTTTTTTAAATGTAACCCGTTATAAGCTTCTCTCTGACCTTTCTGGCTTGCACTTTGACTTGTGACTCGACGCTACTTTGTCATTACCATCGTTAGAAGCTGGCAAGCAATTTTAAGACCTTGCAAATTATCTAAAGGCTGTGAATATCTTGCTATCAGGGGATTCTAAAAAAAGAGGCAGAAGTTTAATTGGAGGCACAGCACCTTCAGAGCAAGAGTACAACTCTACAATAGGGATAAGTTTTTAGGAAGAGGTCAGGAAAGGTTGACTGAAAAACACATGTCTTTAGCAAATCTACTGACAAAGCCAGAGATTAGCCGCTGCTATTGTCTTGCTGCATATCCACCCACACCTTCCAAAAGACAGAAGGGGGATTAAAACGTTTAGCAGGGCAACTGTGAAAGAGAGAATAAAATAAACCTATAGAGGGGTTTTGGAGCACAACAATGCAAAACAATTGAAAGAATCAAAAGGCATTGACAGATGAAATGACAACCCCCGCAAACATGGACAGATTAGAGGCCAGAACATTCCATTGATCTCTATGACAATCAGTCTATCCAAAACAACCCCAAGTGCCAAAACCTACTGCTCAATTCAAAACTACAATCTAAACTCTAACAGAGTGTGGTAAAATGCTGTGGTTGACAGGAAGGGAAAGAAAAGAAATCCATTTATTGAATTTCCTTTAATGATTACGAAAAATAATTTGCATTTTCCAATATTCCTTTGCCTATTTTTCTTGCATGGCAGTACAGGGGCTTAACGATAACATTTTGGAACACTGAATTTTGGAATTTTCCTTCCAATTAGAGGCAGAAATTATCTCCACCGCCCGAGTTAATCCTTTGAGTCATGCTCCTAACACCCCCACATAATTTGAGCTAAACACTTCCCACGCTGACAACTTTTACACTTGTCCTGCCACAAAATTATTTCAAATGTTAAATGCAAACAAAACGAAAAAACTGATCCCCTGCAGTGTGTGCAGGTTCTGAAAAGTGTCCCTATGCCATTGTGACATTTAGAGTTCATTACAACAGTGCTTTACCTGACCTGTAAATTACAGCTTTTAACAACTTTTCTGCCATTTTTGCAATGGTTAATCAATTTATAGCTGATTTTAAAAGCTTACGTATAAGGCCATTAAAATAGCTGCATTTTTCTCAAAATGGACATTTTAAATGTACTACTTCATGTCACTTACACACAACTGACTCTGAACACTTATCTATATTGAAAACAAGATCAAAGCTCTCATCCTATAGCTTAGGAATGACTCCATAACGATCAGAGATTCAGATTCCAACAACAATGTTTTCTTTCCAATAACATTTACATTCATTTTCTGGGATACTTTACAGATTTCAATTCTAGATTTCTTGATCGATTTTTGTGCATTTTTTCTTTGGAAACTTGTGTTTATTTTTGTGCGTTCATTTCTATGAGTTGTTCTAGAAGACATTTTTCTACTACGAGTGCAAAAACTCCCTAAGATATGTCACTGCTCCCATTTATCCTTCTATCCATGTACTTGCCTCTCTTTCCAATTCAGGGTCACAGGGGAGCTGGTGTTTGTCTTGTCAATCAAACACCAACTGGCAATGACCATTCACAACTACATCTCTTAGCATTTAAAACTGAAAATTCCCAATGGGCTCAGCAAGGTAAATTTCTAGACGGTGAAGACGAGTTGTCTGTACTCATCAACCACCACAGAAATCATGAAGACCATCTTCAAAGCACATGCACTTGTTTTTCCACCTCACGGCATGATCAAAAGTCCTATCGGTGTAACTTTTAACACCTGCATTTAGTACAGTACCTTGTCCTGGTTGTTTCTGTTGTGGTGACACAAATTCCCGATAAGCCTGATGAGATGCGCTTTGAATCCCATAGCAGGGTTCCCAGAAGCTCCCAATTCAGAGAAGTCATGAGTCGCAGTAAAAACATTCCGACTTGCCTTGCCCACAAAATGAACTTCTTTCAAAAGTTCTGGAAAAAAAAAAGAAAACAAAAACAACCCTGGATCTTTAAAAAGAAGTGGCCAACGGAATGCTATTTTCTAGGCATTTTGTCAAATGAAAAAATATATTGTACCACCAACTTTTGTGTTATTTCAGAATACCTCAGCTACTTGTCCATGACAATAGTGGTAACACAGCAGTAGGAAGTTCTACTATGCTTCCCCACCCAAAGAAAATAGATTTCAAAAGTTTTAGACCGTAAGTAGGATAATACAGAGGTCTCTCTACAGGAAGTGCTTCATTTTATAAACCTTTCAGCTTTAGTTCAGATTTAGTAGTCCACTTTATCCTATTCTTTCCCAGAAATATATGTGAAAGAAAATAAAATTATGGCCCGTGTTCATCTTTTTAACTTATTCTGATTCAGATGTTGGAAATGATCTATCAGTCAGCTGCACTGCCTTTAAAAACAGCAGTATTCATGCAGCACTGCAAGAAGGATAAAGAAAACATCATCCAGCTCCAATAGAGATATTGACCTAGATCTAGACATTTTTACTGCATATTTTAATACATAATATATTATCAAAGGGCCTCCCTTTTGATTCAGTCAATGAAGTACACAATGATGTCTAGAGTCTGGAATTAACGTGTTTGAGCATGTGTCTTCCCACTTAGCTGACTGTGAAAAGGATTTTCCGTGGGACATTAGTAGCTGAGTGCTGGGGAATTACAACAGGGATTTTTCCAACCTGGAACTAGTTTTACCTGCTGGGTAACTAAAGTTATAAAGTTATAGAGTGACATCAAAGAAAGACCTGCCACCAGTCCCGGATTTCCCATGCCTATGAAATTTGTAGGGCCTACGAAGGAGGGAAACACTAGTGACTAAGCAAACAACAAGCTGAAACAACAGGCTTGCAATTGACTCTAGCTGCTCCAAATCAATGATCACGCGCTATCTAGTGGCCGTTCTAGAAATGGTCACTCGACTCGCTCCATCAATCGCGTGGTTTAGCATTAGAATAGTTTAAAGTGCATCATGTCAGTCGTCCTTCAATTGGCGTTTACCCCTCTTTTTACACATTTCGGATTGAAAGTGCCGACAGCCTCCAAACACAAAATCTGGCCCTGCCTGCACTTCTTCCAATTAGCTCTAACTCTGTGACACTGTGGATCCTGGTGAAGCAGGTGAACAAGTATATCCAGACGTCTCGTCCTCTTTTGATTGGTACAAGGATTGTTGCCTGAAAACAGTCTCAATACATGAGTACAACTGTATTAAGTAAGCGGATTAAATTAAAAAATTAGCTTTCACATTAAAAAAGAGCCTACAGCACTGACAAAAACAAAAGCTATATGTACAGTACTGCATTTTTGCATTTCACAGAGGCAAAAGAACTAATCTTGCACCTATCTTCCTCCACACACTTCCTTCAACTTCCAGACTGATGTTTAGTGGGTGTGTAAATAAATATGGAAATACATATTTAAAACATTTCAGAGGTTACAATCTTGAAAACATCCTGCAGAAAACATTTATTCAGCCGGAATAAAAAAAAAAGTTCAGAATGGCTGGAATGCATTTCAACATCTGTATCCATCCTGTGCAAAATACATACGGAACACTGTATTTCATATTAAATATGTGCATTATAATTACCAACAGTTGTTTTCAGTAGTTCTGAATAATTCTGCAGGAACATAAACTTTTTGCGGTCCGATGTCATCTCACAGAGAACATCTAAGAGACCCATTACGAAAAGAGCCTCCTGAAAAAAAAAAAAGCAGAGTCAGAGGAAATTCCTAGGATCCCATCCATAAAAACACATTTGTTTCAGTAAAACATATTTAAAAGCAAAGAAAGTTTCATCTCAAGGTTGTCTTAAATTTAATATTCAATTACCTTTGCATTTTTTATCTTAAACCGAACACTATTCCAAGAAGTCGATGTAAAGCTGCCCAAAAGCACCACACATTTAAAGTATTGCCAAGATAAAAGATTCACTCCAGTGAAATTTATTTAAAATGTAGCCCTGGCGCTACTCTAGCAGACATGTTTTTGTGCGGTTTCATCAATGAGTTTTAATGGCACATTTCTTTTTCCAAAGGTTTCAAACATTTATTATACTATGACACTGCATGTGTAATATCATTTGCAATATTTCAATTAATTCAATATCTACATAACTCAGTTATATTTATGTGGTTTATGCTACATGCATGCTTAAAATATGGGCAGGGGACCACCTTTTATGAATCAACATTTTTTTTTGTCATGCACAATATTTATGCAATGTTCTTATAGCTATGTTTTTTAAATGTGCAATCACCCTTTTTCTTTTCAGATCTTTATAAACACACACAATTTGAAATCAACAATTGTAATCAACCACCCTTGCTACAGCTGTACAATTCTGATACCAGCAGAAGCATTGGATGTACCTGTTTGCCTTAATTGTGCCAGAGCCATCTCATATTTTCTTACTAGGCCAGCCCTAAAAGAGTGCAGAGATTCAAGGGGTGACAGGACTTTCGCACAAGCATCTGGGAAGACACAAGGGTCTCTCTAGCACCAGGATGTCTTGGGCAACTCAAACCCTTTCCGGGTTTTTATCGCAGAAGCAGAATGTTGGGTTTTTTTACAGGTGAATTAAAAAAATGGAGAAAGACCACAAACTTAAAATCAAGCCTTCTGAAACAACCTCTTATAACTACCCCTCTGGAAGTTAGTAGTTAATTGATCTCAGGATCTCATCCAGATGTTTAGCATCACTGTATCAGCTTCAACAACATGGCAGGGAAGCTTGTTTTATACACCCACAACCCTCTGCGTAAAGTACTTCCTGTTCCCGGTTAAAAAATGCATTTCCACTTGTGTCCTTAATGGAAGGAACGGCCAGCGTAAATTAGCAAGATTAACACGAAAACTAAATTTTGCAGCAAACTCACTTTTAAGCTCAAAATGAAAACAAATGGATAAAAATATAACCGATATTTAGATCCCTACAGCTTTCCAAATTAAAGCGAGCTCAATGAATTGCGATGCTAACGAATTTTTGCACTCTGGGTCAGCTATTTTGAGGTGTTCCAAGGTGCCTAGGGACGGCTCGTGATTCTTTAACTTTATTCTATAATTCTTGCGATACCTTTTTAGGTTAATGCGAGTAAGCTGTATTTCAAGCAAAACAAAATGTAAGTGAAACGAGCGGGGCTTGGAAAACTAAGCCCTATGACTCAGATTTAAAGGCTTTACAGTTTAGAGTGGTCAATAAACAGGGAAGGGGTGTGGATATACAAAACACAACTGACTCACTCAGTGGACGCCATGCCAAATTAACGCTGATTAAATTAAAATGACGCCACGGATCCAAGACCGTGTTAACACAGGAGGGGGGCTAGAGAAACCCACAAGGCCGGCCAGTAATTCCAAAGCACTGCATCAAAACAAGCAAACCAGACATAAGAAGGGATAATTCAGCATGTATCCCGTGAAGCTCTCACAGCTGAAGAGTGCCGGCGAGCCTTACCTCATCAGTAGGTGAGGGATCGGACGCCAAAGTTAACACGGCTTTGCACTGGTCCTCGAAACACGAGGCGAAGAACTTGGCCAGCCTTCCTGAAATACCGGATTCCTCGATGGCCTCCTCCTCTTCCCCCAGCTGCGTCATCACCAGTTCTAATAACGTGATCCTGAAGTGGAATACAGCAGCCCATGGTTAAGAGAGCAAGCTTGTAAACGACCAGGAAAGATCATTTTCAGATTACCAATAACTTGGACAAGCTTATGGTATAACGCGTGTAATTATGCACTTTTCGGTCAGCTGACGTTACTTGTAGAACTCAAGCTTTTCCTCTTTAATGAGAGATTATACATAATTCTGAAAGAGATAAATAGCGAAAGTCTACTGATTTATGGTGGATTTATGCAAAGAT